AATATTTGCTGGAGCCGTGCTTATTGGTGATTACAATTTGGTCGCATCTACTATTTGCGATTGTCGGCGGTTTATTGCCATCTACTTTTAGTGGTGAATTATTTGCCACAAGCGTTTATTGATCCCTGCCCGCAAATATTTCGAATATCTAGTTACACAGTCTTTAAGAATGACCTTTAGCTACACTTTACACTTTGCTGCCAGTGTAATTTCGATATTTTTCACTTTTAAACAGTTGACTTTCAACCATTTGAAAAGTTTTGATGGCCAACATCATTCCAGCTCAATTTATTTTCATACTTCCGAGCTGTTGAAATATTTGATATATATAATGTATATATATATATGTGTGTGTATAAATATTGATTGAAATCTTAGTGAAAAGCCGACCCATTTATAATTCACATTTGGAAGCATTCAACGGCTGCCATTTGCTGCATAGTCTTAAGCTGTCAATTTATTATAGACCCACTTTTAAGCTTTCTATATAATATTTGGCCATATTCTTAAGCACCAAATGCTGTTGCATGCTGTTGGCCTATTTATTATTGATATGCTGCTAGGCAATGGCTAATGGCCAACGGCCAACGGCCAATGGCCAATAGGCAATGGGCAATAGGCAATGGGCAATAGGCAATGGGCAACACCTTAAGCGCACACTTTATGCCACAGAATGGCCTCAAATGTTATCTGAATGGGCAGCAGCAGAATGTGTGGGCCTCACTTGCCTTCACTCTTATGGTCGTCGCATCAGCAGCTATGGCCAGGGAGACCAAAGAGATACAGATGCACAGATACGAGCATTACAATGGCATGGAGATGCCGAGGTAAAAATGTGAGAGTTTTTGGGTCTAAATTCAATTGCAAAATGTCGAAGACGATCTGCTCTGCAAACTGTGCAAAAAACTTAGCCGCTGTAACTTTTCGACTATTTGCACTGGCTGCCGCACTGACATGCAAAGTACCAGAAAAATTGTCTGGCAAAAGTTGCCAGCCAGACGCGCAGACAGACAGCAGCGTATCAGCCCCGCCTCCATGCAGCAACTTTTGCCAACCAGACGCATAAGGTAAATCAGGCTGCTGCTTAAGCTGTATATGTATCCTTTAGGTTGTTGTAGAGCTGCTTGTGATGCTAAAGCATTCGTTTTTAGCTTCGCCGCTGGTTGGCATATCTTAAAGATTTTGAACAGCACACACAGCGCACAAACTTGTCGAAAATGTTTCTATATGCGAAAATTGTTTAACAAGTTGAATGCTGCCAGCAGAGAGTGAAGAAAAAAGTAAAAAAAAAAAAAAAACAAAACAAAAAACAAAAAAAAAACTCGCCACTTCTTCACCTGTATGCCGGAGCCTGCGAAGTTTTCACACCGGGCCATAAGTTTGTCGTTGATTTTAAGCCAAACTGAAAACTGTTCAGCAAGACGCTTGGCTTTAGTTTCAGTTTAAAGTTTGCTGCTTCTCAGTTTTCCTGAGCATTTAATTAAATAATTTCAACTAGCAACGACAGCAGGCGGCAGGCGGCAATAAAATGTTGTAGAACATCTCATATTTGATTTGGCTTCACATTTTCACTGTTTCTTTGCTAGCTGGCAAAATATTTAACTGCATTTCCTATTGATTTTAGTGCTTTGTAATCAACTTGGGTACCTGCAGGCGCATCAGGAAATTGGCGATCTCCTCCAATCGCTCCTCCACCTTACCAAAGTCGATAAGCAAGCCCAAAAAGCTATTGCTTTAGTCATAGTCATCGCCATAGCAACAGCCATAGCCTAGCCATAGCCATTGCCAGGAGTCATCCAGGAAGTGAGTGCAGCTGCATTTGTCTATTTTTCTTCATTCTTTTTTACACACACACACATACGCACACACACTCGCACACACACACACACTCGCACTGGAGGAGGAAAGCAGAATTTGAAGGGAGTTACGGCGTTTATAGCAATTTTACTTGACTTTTGCTGCTTTGTTTGCTTCTGGTCAATAAATGAGCGTAATATTAAGGCATTGAATGGGTTGAAACGACATTGGAAACACAGGTGAAGCAAAAAACTGCAATGCAATGTTTCCGTTAGCTTTGATTCGTTTGGTCAATAGGAAAACGCAGTCTGCCTAAAAGCATTTCCCTCGCCAAAGGCCATCCAGTTAAACCAAAGCGATTCTTAAAAGCGGTAAACAAAAACTCATCTATTTGTTGACCAAAAGCAACCATTAACTTGAACCACTTATGTGTGATTAAATTGGCAATTCTTTATTAGCTGTCAAAGACTGTTTAAGATTTAGCTCAACCATTGATTTAAATAAGGATATATCTATGTATTTAAGGTTAAGACTACCTATCTATGTATTTAAGGTTAAGACGTACGTAATTAAACAATCATTAAATTAACTATCTGATAACTGTCCAAAGGCAACATCAAAATCGTCCTTGTAGTTCCGAGAAAACAAGAACTTTGTGATTTTAACTCATTTTCGGTCTCAAAGGAGTAAAATTCAACAAGAGTTTGGCTTCTTAAATGATCCCATTATCCTTTAATGCAGTTTGAGTGACTTGGTCCTTGCGATTCAGATGCAGCTTGAAATCTTTGAAAATCTGTAAGGATTTTTTCCTTTTCGCCTGTTTGTTCATGAAAGTAAGCAGCATTTTGTCTCTTGAGAACAATTTAACCAATGCAGCAACGTATCCTGAACAGCAATACCCAAAGAAAAGACTATTTTCCCGAGTAAAGTGTTTAGTTATTTTTAACTTGATTTGTTTATCCTTGTACAGATTGTGTAATTAGTTAACAAAATATCATTACATAATTATTATATACACAGCTATGAATTATTATTTATTTCCTACTAAATATGAGAAGTATACATAAAAATATCTATACACAAACTGAACCGTAATTTGAAAAAGTGACTAACTTTATTGGCAGTGTTGCGTAGTGCTCGAATTTTGAAGGAGGCAAATGACAGGAGCTAAATGACAACAGCAGGTGTATGCTATGGTTTTTAAAAAGTCAACTAACCAAACTTGGAGTGTATAAATATATAGATATGGAGAGAGGGAGAGAATTTGCGAGAAAACTGCCTGCAAGCATGTGGCATGTTGAAATGATGCAGGGTCTACTACCCGAGTGTGTTTGTGTGTGGCCCACACGTGTGGCAAGATGTCGGTTTGGACAATGTGGCGCGCAGCAAGCCAAAGGCTAATTCAAAGTCAGGGTGCGCACACAGTGTCGCCGCACTCCTTGAATTGTATTATGACAGCATCTGCACCTGAAAGTATGCAATGATTTTTTCCACATGCGCATCTGGCTCCTTAAATGTAAACAAAAAGCCGCAACAATAGCTACGAGTGGCAGTGGCAATAGCTGACAACGACGCTTTGGCATTCCAAGTGCCCATTGTCCAGAAGCAGTCGTCGCTGCTCATAAGCGAAACACGCTCCAGTTAGACTGAACGTGTGTGTGTGTTGCAGTTGCAATATCAGCCGGTCGGACATGGTGTAAACACGTTTAATGTTGTTGTTCTTGTTGTTGTTGTTGTTGCTGCTGCAGTTGCTGCAACGTCGGCTCGAAGTCGCACTGTTGTTGCGTTAAATTTAATCTACGAACCGAGCTGCTACCTTGACATGGGCTTGCCCCACTCACTGCTTAAAGTCACTGTGTATATGTGTATATGCATGTGTTTGTGCGTGCCTCTGTGTGTGTGTGTGTGTGTGTTGGTTGCCTGAGTGCACCGCAAGTCCATTTAACTTAACTTTGGTCGTACATGATGCACTGGCACTGGTTGGGCTTTTCTCCGTCCTTATTCGCCAGCTGCACCCACCCCATTCGTGCCCCCTTTGTGTTGGCTGTCTCACTGCATCACTCAAACACACAGCCAAATGGTGACAGCAGTGCGTGTCCATATCCCATATGTGTCTGTGTGTGTAAATGTGCATGTATTTGTGTGTGTGTGTGTGCGTGTGTGTGTCACTATGGGCAATGTAATTTGCATGGTCAGCATGCAACGGCGCATTGGCAACAGCAGCAGATGGGCTTTGGGGCGCATGGATATTTAGGGACACGAGACAAAAGGCACAGACGGTGGTGGCACATACTGAGGTCCAAGTCGAGTGTTGGTTGCTTAATTGCATGGCACAGTATTGGCAACTTTTTGTTACCCCAAAATCCAATTGCTGATGCTCCAAAAAGTGTTTTACACTTTACGTCTATCGTTTTCTTAGTGTCACTTTTTAAACACTCATATTAGCTTCTTGTTTCTCTACTCCTGTTAAGTACTAACAGCAACAAGCTCCAATACACAACTTGAAAAACTTGATGACCAGGTGATTTTAGGGTGTGTGTGTTAACGTGGCACAACACATGTTCAGTTATTTTAGTTGGTAACAGCAACGCAGCGAAAGGACGATAAAAAATGCATTGCACAAATGCCGCTACACGCAAAACGTTAAAGATATTTTTTATTGGCTTGCGATTGGAGTTAAAATCATACAATGTACATACCTACAAATATATATATATATATATATATATATACATATGAATCTACTTTAGCAAGAGCTGCTTAAAAAAAAATGGGGAGTACAAATGGTGCACCATTTGCTGCCGCTTTTTATGTTAGGACTATCAAGCGCACGACGAATCATTTGCAAGCGATTTAATTTCAATTGCATGGGCGTTAATCAATGGCAACAAAAGCCAACTGCCACTTTAAAAGCAACAATAAACCCGATGCATCGAAATACGACCAAAAAGGCAGCCAGTCAATTAAATTAGCAAAAGTGCCAAAACAAACAAAAAAGCATCTGTCGAGCAAAAAGCATGGCAAAAAAAGAAAAAATTACGTTTGAATTCGCGCCATAAGAGCGTTGACTAACAGATGCTTACCAACACTGCTTCCATGCCAACTATCGAACGTATATCGAGCAATAATCAGGTCCATCGGCCTGCCACCACAAATGTTTATTACCAGCAGAACTCACAATTTTGCACAATATTTTAAAGAGACTAAACACTTTAAAAAGAAAATATAAATAAATAATGGATACCATGCATTGACATTTGTGGTGCCACTTGACAAGTAATGGTAAGCTACTTGTTAAATTACCAACAAAAAAATGTGTACGAATCTAATTGTTTAACAATTTAGGAAGGCATTTGTATTAATGTACAAAAAAACTCGTAATGTTTAATGCAAAACGTTCGCATGGCAAGCAAGTATTCGAAGCAGATTGAAATAGAGAACTGAACCAAGTTGTTGGAGCCAAATATCGTAATTGTTCGTGGCCAGTAACTAATAAAATCAAAATGAATGGTAATCGTAAATTTAAATCGCTGCGCTTAGTGCGCTTCGGCGATGTGCTTTACGATCAGCAGCGGCGATTAATAATGCTTTGCCGTTCCTGCCAACGGCATTATCTATCACTGGACGCATTCCAAGCGCACCTCATCAAATGCGGTGCCATAAAGCACATTGTGACGTCGATTGACGAACTGCAGTACGACGAGGAGAGGCGAGAGTCGAGACTAATAAATGGCAAGCAAGAGGTGGGTCGTAGTAACCAACAAACCAAAAAGCGCTAAAATGCCTTTTTCCAGATGTTCATTTACGAACCAGATGCTGTGCGCAATGGCGTCGACTGTAACATCGATTGGGAAGCTGAGCTGGAGGATCCCCGCTGGTATACAGATGACAATCGAATGCTGCCGACGAAAGCAAAACAATCGCCCACCAATGCCAAAGAGAACGTCGATGAGATTCGCACACGCAATCAGACAGCCAAGGCAATCGAAAGGGAAACGCAAAATGTAAAGCAGGCGCCCAAAAAGCCACAACAGCAGCAGCAAGAGCAACAATTGTCGCAACCGTCGCCCGCCAAACGAATGCGGCATTCAACGCCAAAGCGCACCATTCTCACAAACCAAAAACAACAGCATAAAACACGCGCCAGCCTCGATATACCCAAGGCGAAAAATGATGTTTATGTGGTGCAGAATATTATTGAAGATCTCAGGGGACTGGATGCATTGGCAACAGCGCGTGCTGTGAGCACATCAACAACAACAGCATCATGTAAAGCATCCACAACAGCATCCTGTAAAGCATCCACAACAGCATCATGTAAAGCATCCACAACAGCAGCATGTAAAGCAACAACAACAACATGTGAAGCAAGAACAGCAGCAGCATGTAAAGCAATAACAACAACATACGAAGCAAGAACAGCAGCAGCATGTAAAGCAACAACAGCAACATGTGAAGCAGCAGCAACAACAGCAGCAGCAACAAATAAACCCACAGTTGTCAACAGTACTGCGAATGGCGACACACAACAAATACTTAACAAGCTGCGCGCTTGTGGCGTCGAAGTCAAGCGCCGCAATACGCGAGAGACGCTCGATGCGTCTGGCGCTGATGCGGCGACGTTGGCCAAAAAGCAGCAAGCACTCGATATAATGCGTAAGCTGCAATCGAATGGTATCCAGTGCACCAAATTGAATAATGCCCGAAAAGGCATCTAGCAAATTACGTGTAATTTTTTTTAAAATGCATCTGAAACGTGCCCACGCATCCCTAGTTGTAGTACAGTTACTTTAAGCACTTGTGAATACACATTGATCGAAATTGGTCTATACAAAAATCATTTTAAATATTGTAAATCGCAAGGTGGCTGCATTGAATTCAATTTTTTATATCATTTAGGAAAAACTTTGAAACAGCTGTTGTAAGCAAATAGAGATGCGCATCTCCATAGTTGTCAGTCACAGCACGCACTTACATTGCCATCTCTAATTTAGAGATGAGCAATTGGGAACATTTACTGGATTAGTTTGGAGCCCATTAGCTGCTTAAGCTTGTACTTATTAGTATCAGTCGCAATTTTTCGTAAACTATACGACGTTAAACACATTTGTTATCATTAATTACATTCATATATACTGTTTTCAAAATGTAATTGGCGCACTGCTAACAACATTTGAGCGAATGTTAAAGCTTAGGGTGCCCAAAGCTGAAGCTGTTAGTGAAACATTCATTAGTCGCACGCGTGCGTTTCTAGTCGAAAGTAATTTAGTTAAAAATTTGCTGGCAAAGAGGCGCCTTTTAATTTATTTATATTTTATAGATTCGTAGCACAAACCCGCCAATTTCGAACGTCGCGTGTGGCTAACGAGCTTGGGAGGCACGCAAAACAGGTAAGTGTACTGATACTTATTGGCTTACATAATTTTTTTTTGGCCTGCTGCGGACCAAAATTTTGTTTTGCATTTATAGATTTGTGTCAAAATGCAGGCACAAAATGACATCATACTTTGGGAATAGTTTCTTTTGTCAGTTGCTCGAGAAAGGTCTTGTGATCTGTGTGTGGGAGTGGAATTTTAAGACCCCAGACATAATTTCGTTATGCTGAATAAATTCCAGCAGTGATAACATATTGTTTACAGAGGCGGATATCAAAACCGGTTCAAATTAAGCTTCTAATCTATCAGCCAAAATCCAAAGCAGAATCCCAGACAAGTTTTTATTTAAATTAAAATGTAAATTTTTATTTTTAAATGGAAATTGTAATTTCAACTACACAGAGAAGTACTCGCATTTATAACTCATATTCAGCTTATGCGCATTCTTCGCGATATTTGAGAAATTTGCTTAAATGGCTAATTGAATTCGTATTTGTTATTTTCTGTTGCATTTCTCATTTCAAACGAGTGCCGTTTTTTTGTTTTTTTGCTTCAATCTTGTTTATTTTAATGCGTTATTTTAGGCTAAACTATTTAGTGCATGTGCCCAATTATCTGATTTCTCTTTAATTAGTAAGTGGCTTATTTTTTCAGTATTTTTGTTTTAAACATTAACTTAAAACTGCTTATTTGTTTAGTGCCTGGCTTTTCACTTTTCATTTCTTTTTACAATTTTCAATAAGTTTGCAATCACATAAAAGGACATCAATAAGTTTAATATTAACACGCAGGACACTCGGAACAATTACTCAACATTTACGATAATTTAATATTATAATATATATATATATACGAAAAATAGAAGTGGATATATATATATATATTTATGTTATATATATATATAAGTGATAGGCATTGTGTACTCAATATTCAGTGTTGTGAACTAAATGCGATTCTCTTTGCTGCATTCACAAACATTTTACAATTCATTTAATATAAACAAACTTTTAAGTTGATATTAGAGTTTTGAGAGTTGTTGTTGTTGTTTCTGTTGTTGCTGCTGCTGCTTCTGCTGCTGTTGCTGTTATTCGAGGGAGCGACGTCGCAGTTGCCGCCGTACACTGCCCATGGCGGCGCTGCTGCGATCGAGCAGCTCATTGGAGAGTCTCGCGAGCAGCGGCAACTCACGCATGGAAACATTCACCGATGGCAGCGGCGCCAGCTGCTGCTGTAGCTTCTTAATGCTGCTATCGTTGGGCTGTTGCTGATGACGATGCTGCTGCTGCTGCTGATGATGATGCTGCTGCTGCTGATGATGTTGCTTCTGCTGCTGTTGATGATGCTGTGGCGTCACGGGCAGACTGTGATGCACATTCATTGATACGGCGGCGGTGTTTATTTTAATCACAACATCCCTGGCATCCACCTCATCCACATCGCTGTGGCGCTTGGAGGCCTCGGCACCCAGTGAATCGGGTCGCTGCTCTGTGGATTTCTGCAACTGATGCTTGGCAGCCTCCTTGAGCATCATGAGATGATCAAGTTTGTCAACGGTTGCCTTTAGTTCGTGCTCCCACACATCGTTCTGTTGCTGGCCGTCGCCGCCTTCGATGGGTCGCACTGCGAGTATTTTGACCTTTTGGCGCAACGCCTCCAGTTGGCGTTCGTCGACAACGCCGCGCAGATCGTTGCCCAGCGCTGCCTCATCGTAATCGCGCACATTATCCTCCTCGCCCTCCTCTTCGAACTCATCCTCCGTTTCAACAGCGGATGGGGTGGCAGCGGGTGTTGCACTGCCCGCTCCCAGAGACATTTGGCTGCCCGCTATCGATGGATAGTCACATTTCTCCAGCTCCAGATGGAAGTCGGGCAGCGATGGCAACGCACTCGATGTTGGTGTATTCAGTTCGGCGCCGACGCCCGGCTCTCGAGGTCCTGGCGGTGGCGGGGAGTTGCTTAACGCCGGATAATCGCCACGCTGCCGATGTATGTCCTCGCTGATGCGCTCCAAATTGCGCAACGCCGTGGAATATGTCGCCTTGGCACTGGCCACCTGCTGCTGCAGCTCCTGGATTCGATTCTTTTGTGTTTGCAGCTGATCTTGGCACACCTGCTTCTCCTCAAAGTACGGTCGGGATTTGTTTATGCTGCGCCTGAAGCGATCCTCGAGCTGCTGTAACTTTTGCTCGGCGGTGTGAAAGAGTCGCGTTCGTCGCTGATGCTCCGCATGGCAGTCGGCCTTCTGTTTCTCGGCATCCATCACCTTCTGGGTGGCATGATTCAGCATCTCCTGCCAGGCATTGTCGAACTGCCATTCGTGTGAATTGGACATGAATCGCTGCTCGGCCAGCGCCACAGTCTCCTTGGCGGCTGCATGGATCTCTGCAAGAGTGCATTTTGGTCGACTTTAGCTGCAGTTCAGTTTGTTTTTAGATTTCTGACTTACCATTGGCTCGCTGAAATTTGACAGCGGCCTGTTGGCATTCAATTTGCGCCTGGCGCGCCTTGTCCAGCGACTCGTGGTAAGGACGCGCCTTCTCAATGCAATTCCCTAGCTTCTTGGAGGAGAGTTTCAAGCGGCGCGTCGACTCATTCAACAGTATGCGAAATGTTGAGTTGGCCTCCTAAAAAATTGAATGAGTTAAGAGTGCTTTTGATGGGAATTACAATTTTCTTTTACCTCCAATTCAATTTCGAGTTTATTAATCTCATCCGTAGCACTATTGAGATTCTCCAGTTCAATCTGCAAAACAAATAGATATCAAATTTATGGTTAAGGATTGTTCAAATAGAAATATTATATTAATTATGATGTTGAATGTATATTTCTTTCATTGCAGCTTTTGCCAACCAATCAACCACCAGCAATAACAAGTACAAAATGCCAAAATCGCCAGCTGGCGGTCCCATGCCCAAGGATCCAAATAGCAAATATGATTTGGGCAAAATATCAGCGCGTGTGGATCGGGTGAATGTTAGCGGATTGCTGCGCACCCACAATGACTATGTGCAGCGGGCGGCGGAGGGCCTGTTCAAGGCGGACAACTTTCAGTCGATGATGCTCGAGGCGATGGCAGCCAAATCGTATCTGCATGAGCTGGGCATCTTCAAGGATGTCTCCGTGCACATCGACATCAGTCGTGGGGCCGATGCGACGCCGCAGGGCTACGAGGTGACCCTCAAAGGCAACGAATACACACGCATCATGGGCTCGGCGGGCACAGAGATTGGCCAGAACGAGGGCTCGCTGCGCACCGAGCTGACCATACCGAACATCTTGGGACGCGGCGAGAGCATCTCGCTGCAGGGCAGCTACAGCAGCAGCCGAGCCAACGATGTACAGCTGAAGTTCTGGAAGCCCTTCTTTCATACCCGCTTTCGCGAGAATCGACCCGAGTCAGTAATCGATTATATAATCAAATCGGAGCAGTTGGAGTTAATTGGTGTCTATATTTATGTTTCTATAGAGTATCGTTCAGCGTGTTTCGACAAACGGATCGCTTCAACATCAGCTCATTTCAGACCACCAACTTGGGCTACCTGATTGACTTCAGTGCACACACTATGCTCGGCGTCGATGTAAGTTTATTTCTGGATAACCATAATCTATAATCCCTCTATAAATATATATCTATATATATATATCTGGCTTGCACAGCTCACACACTCGCTGCAGTATGAGAATTCGATAAGGGACCTGGGTTTGTTGAACAAATCGGTGCCGTTTGCCATACGGGATCATAGTGGACCCAAATTGGCATCGCTGCTGCGTTATTCCCTGGTCTTTGACAATCGGGATAACAATGTGTTTCCCACCCGTGGCATTATGTTGAAGTCCGTCAACGAGTATTGCGGCCTGGGTGGCAATGTGGCATACACCAGCAGCATGGCGCATGGGGAGATGAATGTGCCGCTATTTGCGGGTTTGGTGGCACAGTTCTGTGGCCGTGTTGGCGTCATGAAGGAGACCAAAAAGACAACGGTGCTGCCCATTAACAATCTATTCTATTGCGGCGGCCCGCTAACGTTGCGTGGCTTCGAGTATGGCTGCGCCGGACCCGTTGTCGAGGGCACGCCCATCGGTGCTCAGACCTTTTGGTGTACGGGCGCCCATCTGTGGACACCGCTACCCTTTGCGGGCGTCTTCAAGGGACTCGCTAGTCATTTCCGTATGCATTTCTTCTACAATATGGGCAATAGCAATGCATTTACAACAGGTATGGATTGTTCACTCTTTTTAATAAGAAAATATGTAACTGATTCTTAAATCACCCCTTTCCAGATAACATGCGCAGCGCCTATGGCTTGGGTTTGGCCATCAAGCTGGCGGAGCGTGCCCGCATCGAGCTGAACTACTGCATCCCGTTGAGTCGTCAGGCGACTGACAAGGCCTCGAATGGTTTCCAGCTTGGCATTGGCTACGAGTTCGTCTAAATTTCAAAGTTAACAACTATCGAAATACAATATGTACTTAGCTGTATAGAGGCCCCCTTTGAGATGATGATAATGCTGATGATGCTGATACAAATGTAGCTGCCCAACAAATTAGTCACCTTTCATTTTTAAACTACGATCTACTCTTATTTTGTTGTATTCTTCTTTCTGTTAATGCATTTCCGTTATTGCATCCTATTAAATTTACTTGTAAACAGCAAAACCTATTAAGTATAGTTTCTAAGTGTATATACAAAAACAAACAAAAAACTGTAAAACCAATAAAAAAAAATTACAAAAAAAAAAGATTGTTAAACGATATAAAATGTTTTTTAAGTGTATAAAAAAAAGGAATGTCGTTTATATAGATATAGTAAAGGATCCGCCAAGCAATGAAGTAGTCGCGTAACCTTCGTGGAGTGAAACAAAACGTGCTTTTGCTCTCGCCCCAATGTGGACATGAAATTTGCCTGTTGAGCAGCGAATTCCAAAGCAAACCTAGGGGCACACAAACATACTAACAAAAATTCTAAGGAAAAAGCCAAATTCTTCTCTACCTGCCTCTCTTCTCTCTCTCTCTCCACTGCGATTCGAACCCACGACTGCGACAGGAAATAATCGTCAGAGAGCGTAGCAACGTAGCTCAACGCAGAACGCCATGCCAACATCAATAAACACGCAAGCAGAGCAACCATTTAACATAGCAGCGCAAAGCTGTAAATTAACATTTGTTATGGCAATGCCCTTTACAGAGAATGATGTGAAATGTTAAGCAGTCAAATATTGCATAAATGCCATGGGAAATTTACTCAATCGAAGATTGCCATTATTTCTGGCTGTTATTTGTTTTTGGGTTTTCTTGCTAATTTATTTGAAATTCCCATATGTATAATGCAGCTGTCGGCGGGCGTGCACCAGCCAAACAAGCAGCAGCAACAACAACGTATATTGCCACGGATCGGTGAACTGAACTCAACTGCATGCAGTTACAGTTTTATGTTTTGGTCAAAAGGAAAACAAAACAAAACAGAAAAAAAAAGATTCAAACTGGTTTTAATTATCATATTTTCGGACGGATCGTTGTCTGTATACACACACATAGGAGATGATGGGTGTGCGTATGTTTTATTGTAGCAGCTTTTATTAAGCTTGTCCCAGTTTGATTTTTATCGTGTTGTGTTCGTTGGACATTTCTTCGCATGCCGGATACCAGCAAGGGGCAGGCAAAGGTAATCACATGCATGTGTGTGCGTGCGTGTGTGTGTGTGTAGTGTGGAACGAAGCAGAGCATCGTAGGGCAGAGTCTGGATGGAGACTGATTGATTTAAAATGCCCAGACGAACAAGGTGGGGGGATCAGCGGGGGAGCACTTAAGTTTTCGACCGGTTTCCAGTTTAGCTTTTTGGCTGTGTGTGTGTGTTGTTGTGGCCCCTAAAAACCAGTTTCGTCGTAAACTACGCTGCAGAAATTTGAAGCAGTTGAACTTTCCAGGAATTTTTGCTGGCATCGCGCGATGATGCCACAACGGAGGAACACACAAAAGGGCACACAACTTATCGTCTGGCTTGGCTTTGTGCAAAGTGCAAAAAGCCTGTTAATTAAAAGTTTTTACTTGCATTTGTTTTTCAACAATTTTAATGTGCACAGCATGCAACAGTAAACAAACAACTGAATACAAGTAAAATGTTACTTGGCAAACAAACACGCCCCCTACCGGCGATGCATACGATGCACTAATTGAATCCAATTCCAATCGTGTGCGACGGCCCCAAAAGAGGCAAAGACCTTTTCGAATAAAATACAATACGAAGAATATATTTTTATTGACAACAATCCAGCAGAGTCAATGAATATTCCGACGTCGTTTGACATCATAAAATGTTTATGACATTGCAATTGAATTGTACCAAAAAGAAGAAGCAGGAAAAACACCAAACAGATAAATTGTTCAGCAAGCTGCGCAGCCAACCAGCAAGCAGCAAGCAGCTGTACTTATGGCAATGAGTACGCAAAAATATTTGATTATCTGGGAGCAGGCAAATAATTACTTATTGAATGACGGAATGACGTCCCAGAATTTTACAAACATATACAAATATCCACATGTACATAGCTACAAAAATATTTGCGCAATGCCTACTTAAAAAAAAAACATCAGAAAAAAGTATACAAAAAAAAAGAGATAAAAAAGTACCGTTTATTATTCAATTGGGAATGTGAGCTGAGTGATGACGATTTAAGGAAAGTATAAGAAATAATGTTATTACTAGAGAAAATGGTGTCGAGAATGATACTCTTCTAGAAATTGAGAAACTAACCTGAATTATTGATTAATTGACAAATACGTCAGCGCAGCTGTCGAAATGTGAAATGTTAAAATGTTAAAGCGTCTTCTCAACCCACAAATAGGGTCAAAATCACATGGAAACCGAACAGAACCGACGTCAAATAATGTTTGCAAATCACGCGATGTGCTGACGTTTTTTCTTCTTCTTTTTTGTTGTTGCATTTGTCAGGGTCGTTGTTGAATGAAAGGTGCGCAACGCAAAGGGACACAAACCATATATAAATCAAATGAAGAAGGTTAAAAACGAGCGTAGCACGAAGCACGACCAACTTAAATTATCCAAATTAAAAGGTCATTGCGAGATGACGTGTTTCCAAATCAACCCCCATCCCCCCCACCTCCCTCTCCTACTACCCCTTCGCGAAGAGTGAGCTTTACAGGACAGACTGACAGACAAGTGGGCGCCCAACACAAACGACTCAAACAGGCCATAAAGTTGATTACGTCGTCGTCGCCATCTCTTTTGGCCATTTGCAAAGATGACTGACAACCGCCAACTGACAACTAACTAACAGAGTTGTGTCAACTTTTGGGATTTATGGTCACATTGCGCTTTTCTCCCCAAGTTTTATGGAGAGTTCATTTTGTTCACGGTTCTTGATTCGGGAAACTGGTTCATTTGTACACTCAAAAATTAAGCAGACTTTAACAGACTCAAAGCTTTGCTTCTCCCGCGTTGCAGTAATACTTTCAGGCATAAATAAGAATCGCTGAAAAAGGATTTTTGTTCTTGAACTTGACCCCATTTGTAATGAATGAATATCTAACAAATTTGGTTACTTATACAAATATTTATATGGAATAAAATGTTGAACCGAGGCAAACAGGCAAACTACTCAGCTTGGGTAATGCCTTGAGGAATTATTGTTCAATGCATTACGCACTTCCACTTATCATTAGCAGATTAGCTTGCCCCATACTGCAGCACAGAGCAGTTGAGGACACACCCCGCGAAACGCAAAGTGGCAATGACGCCAGAAAGCGAGTACGCGGCTACTGCAAAGTGGCGTGATGCTTGCTATGTGGCACAGGACTCGCCCAGTGACGATTACAACTAAAGCCTGACCTGACCCGACATGACCTAGTTCTGTGGTGGCCTCGCACCAGCAACAGGGAAGCGCTGCGTAAACATTTGGAAAAGTCAGAACGAAAGAAAGGAAATGCGAGCCGTAAAAGCCATGGAAGCCGTATATTCATCGATTTGCCTTGTGTAATACAGGAACAGGAAACAGGAACAAGAACAGAAACTGACACGTGGCAGGTATGTGCGCCCAAGAGGACATTCAACTTTAAGAAGTTCCACAAAGTTCGAGCTAAATCTAACTTACCAAAAATAATAAAAGCAAACACAACTCGCATATCTGCATATTTATTGAGGGCAGATCTGAGCTATGCGGCTAGGCTAATAGAAAGTTTAGCTCTGCCTGAAGTGGGCTGTGACTGGCTAAAACAAAAATGTGGCTCAAGCCAAACTAGCTCAAGTGTTGCCATTGCTATTGTTGTCGTCGTTGAAAGTGTTGTTATATAAAACAATAACAAAAACTAAAACTAAAACAGGGTAAGGCACACGTGCGGCGCCTCTGGCAGCCCCAAAAAAACAAAACCAGCGTTGCTTGACTCAAAACGCAATTGACCGCAACAATTTTAATTAGCCCAAAAGCCAAAAATTCAAACAAAGTTATGTCAACAGATGCGAGACAATGGGAAAAATATGATTGTGAATAATGCAAATCTAAGATAAACTACTTGTTTACAAGTCAAACAATACAGATAAAATTCACTTTTGTTGCTTCAAGCTGAGTTTCAGCATCAGATTAGATTAGAAAACAAAGAAAGCTAAAAAAAAAATAAGTAGAATTTGTACTTAACATACTTTAAATTTCACATAAACCAAACAAGAATGTTTACTTTTTTAAGCCACTATTAACTTGAATGAATTTTCCAATTGACCAATTGACCTCTAAACTTTAAACCAAAACCTGTTAGGAAAAAACATCTGTTAAAATTGACAACTTGAAGCAATCGAACTTCTAATGGCCTTTGAGACAAGTTAATGACATTGTTTAATGATAAGATTCTCTTCTGATATGGCTGAGCATATTGTTAGCGACAAGTCGCTAGAGAGCGGAAACAGATATTTTGTTGGTTTCGGTTTGGTTGGCCAGATTTCTTGCCATTGAAATTTCTTTGCAGCAAATAAACAAATATCAAATAAAATCTTAACAAAATTGTTGAGCTTTTCGCTTGCGGCAATAGCAATTAATTAATTGTTATGAAAATATTCAAACAATAAATGCAAATGATGTGCGGTAACCGCCGGCTTTTGCCATAGGCTTTTTTTGTGGTTATGCATCACTGAAGAGCCAAGATGATAATGATAATGATAATGATAATGATGATGATGATTATGATGAAGGGGGCACCTCTGAGTGCTTGTGCCGGAGATGCCGTCAAATAAATGAATACAACAAACAACAAGCAAACGGCACAAAATAATTGCAAAGCAGCTTTAAGCCGACTGAAAGATACTCTAGAAATAGATACAAATAGACACAGCTGATGCAAAACATTATAAATAACAAAATGGTCAGTTAATAATTGAAAATTATAAATTGCGATTAAGCAAATAATACATTGATTGTGGTATTGATTGCCACATTGGGTTCAAGTTGGCTCGTTGTTGCAAGTGCAAAGCAAATACGAATGTGTTGCGTGTGTTATTTGTTTGTTTGCCCCGTGTAAATATGTAGTTGCAACAGTATTGCTACAATTGCCGGCTATTAATAACCGGGCCAAGTGCCAAGTGTGACAAAGTATAGGGTATTTTGGTGGCTCGATCGGCTGTTTGGTAGCGTGGCCGAGTGGTCTAAGGCGCTGGTTTAAGGCACCAGTCTCCTCGGAGGCGTGGGTTCGAATCCCACCGCTGCCAACTTTGAGCTTCTTTTTTTGTGTGGCAAATTGAATAATAAACTGAATATAATTGCGACCCTCGAAAGATTCAAAGTAGAATTTTATATTTTATACTTCAAGCCACAGCAATCGTTGAGTGATTTACACATAGATATAGATATATATATAAATATCTACATTCATAGGTGATTTGACAAGCAAGCTTTATGTGTGAATCATTAGTGTTTGTCGTGTTCTCTAAGTCGTCTCACCTTGCTAACAAATATGGCGTCTTTTATTAGTCATTAGCATAAATTTTCTTATTTATGGCTAAAATTTCCTGTGTTAATCAAATTATCAAGTGGAACAAGGTAAAATGCTGATATTGCACACGAACTCAGTTTCACAAGAAATTATTTGGCAGTTTTTTATTATCTTCTATTGGTAATCAATTCCGCGATTCGATACAGCTCGAATTTTGTAGCCTAAGCAGAAATTAATAATATATATAAGTATACATATATATATATTTCTTAATAACTATGAATTATTTTCTGTTACATCAATTCAATTTGTGGGATTAAGTAATATGCAGCTTTCACATATATTTTCAGGTAAATTTGGCAACTGCTATCGCGATATCAGCGATAAGTTTGCACTAATTGTACAGCTCACGATGAAGAAAGTTTTGATACCCCAAAAAAACTCCCCACGCAAATGACTAAACATTGTCGCGTGTGTGGGAGTGAGACAGATAAAGGCAGACAGAGAGAGAGAGAGAGCGAGTCAGCGATGTGTGCCTGACATAAAAACCAATTCTATCAAGCGCAAATATAAATAGTGGAACAGCTGTCCAAATCGGAGATAAAGCTATAGAAGAAGCCTTAATGTTGATAGCTGTCTTTGTCTGTCGTACGCGCCGCAGACGTCATCGCGTATTTTGCACTCTATCTCTGTGTCAGAAAGTCTATGTATAAACATGTTAACTCATTTCCCTCTCCATCACTCTCTCTCTCTCTCTCTCTCCCTCTCTCCGATAAGACAAAGGCGCAGCTAAATTGCACGCGCTATTAATTTAATTGATAAACTTACAGGGAACTAGCAACAACAACAACAAACCGGCTTAAAACGGGGAAGTGCTGCATAAGACATAGAAACAACAAAGTCACAGTGTATAAAAGAATAATAAATATACATATTGTATGCACATACGTACATAAGTATGCACGAGTATATTTTCTTTTGTTTAAAGCTTATTTGGCAATATTTACGTATATTCGCAATTTATACGGAATAACGAGTTTTTTCATTTCGATTTATTTTGCTTGTTTTGGCGAGGCTTCCAATGTGTACATAAATTGGCAAATGAATAAATTCTCTCACATCCTCACACACACACACACACACAAACGTATTTATAGACATTACAAACGTTCCAATCAAAAATCACATGCCTCCCATCAATCGGTTTTGTTTTTGTTAATCTTTTTACGCAGCGTGGGATATTTTTCTTTGCTTTATTTTTACTCTCCAACTGTGTTTGGTTGGGCATAAAAATAGACGAATGCCTGTGTGGGAAATTATTGGTACTTGTTGGGAATTTTATTTATCAAGTTTTGTTTTTTCAATTATATTTTTACAAATTGTATTGCAACGAATCATAACCAGTAAATCACACAACACATCAATACATAAGAAATAATAATAATAATAAAAATAAAACTAAAAACAACAAAACAAAGAGCAAACCTAGCTTAATTAATGCAAACTGCGCACGCGGCTTTCAAAGTCGAATGAAAGAAACAGGCAAAATATTTGCGCATTTGTTTTCATCTGCTTGCGTCGGCGTTTTGGCATTTTACCCGCTATATATTAATTTTATGCATGCCTTTGCTCTTCCTCACATTCCCCTCAGCGAGTTTTGTTTGCTCTTCCACATTTCCACTCTTTGAGTCGTAGTACCTGAGACTGACCAGAGTAACAATATGCACACATACCCACACCCAAAGACAAAGAGGACAAGTGTGTAAATAGAATATGCATGAATGTAAGTCTCAAATTACGCACAAAGCGTAAAAAGCAATTACTTGGAAGAGGCAGCAAGACAAACACACTTGACAAGGACATGGACATTTGACATTGTGCGCGTGAAAAAGGGACAGCGAAGAAGAAGAGAGGATGTCTCTGTAGCGTCTCTGGAAATGCGCAGAGACAGCTGTTTTGTCAGTAAAAATTTCCATGAATATGGAAACAGTTCAATTAAAGGAAGCCCACAATTTGTGCAATCGAGTGGCAAAATAAAAATATAAAAAATAGATTTGTATTATTGTTTAGACAACAAAATGTAGCGAAGCGTAAAAGCGACGCATGCAATAAAACGAATTAAAATGTAAATGTAAAACACACAGTGCAATGAATAAATAACTAACGGTGCTTTCCTGTGAGAGACTATGACAACTGGCAAACTAATTAATAGTGAAGGGGAGAAGGATAGAGAAAGACAGAGAGAGAGACACACACATACACACACACACAAAGAGAGCGTCACAGCAACGACAACCGCTTACAAAACAATAACAATAAAGCGAGTCAAGGCAACAACAGCTGAGCATTTTATTGTTGTTGCTCTGCGCTTGTCACTGCCTGGCACCCAGTGTATTGACCAAGGGTGCAGGTGAAGGGGTGGGTCGCAGAGGGGGGCAGACACGTGCATTTTTGGCATTTGGCTTGGCTCACCTGAATTTGCGGGTCCAGCTCGCTGTCTTCAGTGTTGGACATTTTGCACAACGTACGATTTGCTTTTAGCGCGATTGCCAATTCCACACAACAATTTTAGATTGTGACAGCGTTTCAATTTAAATAATTTTCACTTTTGTCTCCACAGCTCGCACAGCGCCTTTTTTTTCAATTAGTTTGCATTTGCATTTTCACTTACATTAATCATTTTTATTTCATGATTTGCTACTTTGATTGGATAGATTATAATTTAGCATTAATCACATGGGTGTGTAATCGTAATCGTCTGTGCTGAGAATAATATATGCAAATACTTTTCACATGGGAAATTTTGTGAAATAATAAACAATAAAATAATAGTATTTGTTGTACTGTATTAGAGAGACAGAGAGAGAAAGAGAGACGCGCACGAATTTAACCACGAATATACATGAGGAGAGATATGAATAATTGTAGACACACACACTTCTATTATTGTTGTTGTTATTCCTTTCGTTATAAATGCTACAGACTATCTTAAAATTATTGGAGCGTCCGAACGCGGTGTAGGTGAAAAGCTGACTCAATGTGGTCGCAAATGGCTTGTCCGCAAATACTGGTAAGTGCCATATATATCGATATCTCTCGATACATCTAACAGCACACTGTTAAGTGTGGAGTACTTATGTTGCGAGCTCTCGTGTGGAGTAGACAGTTAGCGAGAAGTATTGCTGTAAAGGGTGGAGTGAAACTTGGTATTAATGTTAATTGGGTAACAGTTCTGTTGCAATAACTTCGTCTTTTTCAAAAGCAACACTGCGTCATACAAAAAGGGCGCAATTATTTGAATTTACTGTGAGGCTACTGCAGAATTAGAATACCCGTAATAAAATCAATTCACTCATTTTTACTATGAAATTTTATTTAATTTGTTTGGTTTTGTTTGTTATCATTTTTGTTTTGTCCATTATGTGCTTTACATTTTGTGTGAGTTTCTGTTTTTGTTAATATATATATGTACTATATGCATATATGTATACGTATATGTATATTTCCAATTTCAATTACTAATGATATGCGCACCAAAACAAATTAACTTAGCGCAAAAATTTGCTTTAAAACTGAAAAATTGTTGAATGGAAACAAAAACAATATGTTTGTTTCACTAAAAAACGTTTATTTAAGTAAATGATAAAGAAAGGCAATAGAAGTGTATACCACGGAATTTCTATACGTTATTTAGCATTCATGCCCGTATTTGCTTGCTTAATGTAACGCTAATATATATTTAAATATATATATAATTTGTATATTTAATATATAATGAATTTTATAGTTTATATGGAATAACACTTAATTATACATTCATTCATATAGATTTTGCTTGTTTATTTTATTGTTATTTCTGTTTTTTGTTTTTGTTTTTGTTTTTGCATTGTATTGATTTGTATACATATTTAAAATATAGTATATAAAACACAAGTGTCACAAGTAAATGATGATTAAACAACTGAATTTGTAGTTTAATTCGATATCTAGTTGTTTTTTTTAATGTTGATTTAAGAAAATTAAAGAAAATACAAATGTTTTGCAAATAAATACTAAACAAATGCATTTGTAGCTCTTTTGTAGTAGAAAAGTTTTTGCTAAATAGTTATTTGTTGCTTTTTTTTGTGTTTTCTGTTTCTTGTTGTGTGCTTTGCAGTTTCTCTGTATTTATTTTTATTCTTCTCCTTTTTGTTTAGTATCAAACCACTAAATACTTGCCCATATAAATGATTTTCTTGTTTAAATATTTATTAAATGTATACACATATATATATATGTATATATATATATATATATATTATGCTATATATTAACTATGCAAGTGTTGCATATATGCAATTTGCGCTTATTTTTTCCATCATTTTTCGATATTTTTGCTTTTTGTATTTAGTTTTAATTCTGTTGTGTGATTTTTGTTTTTCTTGTTAACATTCATAGGGAAAGTACAAAAGTATACGTTTTTCAAAAGCTTTTCTGTTTTAGTTCTTCAAGTTACATTTGTTACACATGCGTGTATTTAAAAAAAATATAAATAATTAAACTGGCCCTTGTCAATTACACAATTTAAATACTTTTAATCGTTTATTCATTGGTTTCATTTATGTTATAGCAAAACAAAATTGGGTTTGCGGTTTTTTGGAATGTCTTCTAAATTGCAGGAATTGTTGAATAAAAATAAAATCAAAAGCAGTAAAAATTGTTGTTCCTGTTTAAGTATTTATAATATTAGATTTATGTTCGCTATAACATATATATATATAGACCAATTATTCGAAAATATTTTCTTAGGCATACTCGTCCACTCGTTGCTAGCACTCGATACACTTTCCAACGAGTACACAAAACACTGAACTTTACCAATAAAATTATAGATAATACAAACAAAATACTAAAAACTAAACATTCAATACAAAGTAAAAACACTGAAAAACTTGACGCAGGCAGAAACAAAGTAACGAGTAACGAGTTACGAGTAACTACGACGACGATTACACACAAAAATTTCAGCTACACTACGTGAAATGTTCTCTCGCTTGTGATTTGGGAGTTTTTTTAGCTTAAGGAAACTTTGCTTTCTACTTTTGATCTCTTTGTCTGTCTCCCCCGCTCTTTACTCACTGTCAATGTTGAGACCCACACGCTTCTCCTCCTCGAGCATGGCGTCGAGTTCATCGGTTAAATTGGCGAGCATATTGCCAATATCGTTGAGCACATTGACCGATACTTTTGGCGGCACTGTTGCATTAACAGCGGCAGCAGGTGCAGGCGCTGCTGAAGCAGCAGGAGCAGATGCAATCGTTGGCTCTGGCGATGCCGATGATTCCATCAGACCACCGCTGCCTGCTGCTGCTGATGCTGCCTCTGCCAAAGTGGGTGAACGCAAGTGGAGAGCACTGCTCCCGGCACTCGCCGTGCTGTTCATGCTGTCGCTGCGGGCGAGTGTTGCGTCGTGCAGCGAACTGGAAGATTTCAGCGAATGGAACGAATGCGCTATATTGTTGGCAATGGTGTTTGTCGACGACGAACTGGAACTGGAACTGGACGAATGCAAATGCGTGCCGGCCGCATGGTGTCCAGCACTCAGCACTGATCCCGTCAATCCACCAACTCCACCTCCACCGGCAACGCTCGACTGCAGCTCCTGGCGATTAAGCAGTCGCTGCTTAATGGTGCCGGTGTTCTCATTGGCAAACGGTATCGTGTCAATCGAATCTATGCTGGAATTTGACTTATTGTCATGATACTTCTCGCAGTGTATCTCCGCCGTTGTCTGCTGAATGGTTGCATAGTTTGCATAGATCGGTTGCTGCTGCTGCTGCGAGTTAACTCCTCCAATTTGCTGCTGCTGCCAATGTTGCGCCGTGTGGCCATAGAATATGTGCTGTTGCTGCTGCTGCAGTTGTAGTTGTTGCTGCTGTTGTTGTTGTTGTTGCTGTTGATTGCTTGCGCCAGCTGCTGCTGCTGCTGCAGCCTGTTGCGTCGCCTCCACGCTCAACTGTCGCGAGTTGCGTATGCTGCAGTGACGCCTTGGCGGCTCGGGCGCTATCTTCTTGCCCGTCAACGGACTGCCGCCGAGAAAGGCCTGCAACATTAAAATTCGATTAGAATTTAGCACTTGGCATAGATGAGGAGACAAGATTTCAATTGAGATTGGCAGAAGATAGCATCATTGAGTGCTCGTTGAGATCTTGTCCCTTCTGTTTTTGACACTGTTTACTCACCGTTGTGGAATCGGCACCGCCTGCCGTCACATACTCTGCCGCCGCCGCCGCATTCATGTAGTGATGATGCTCCAACGGTGGCATTGTATTCAGCACTGCTCGCTGGAGGATGCCACGCTGCTGGCGGGGCAGTGTGCCGCCGCCCTCCTCGTAGAGCAGCTCGCGTGTGGCATCGTTGGTGGGTGTAATGTCGCCATCATCGTAGGAACGTCGCCAGGCCAACGCTGCTGCATTGCTGCCAAGCAGCCGAGCTGCGGCCTGTTGTTGTTGTTGGTGTTGCTGTTGGAGCAACTGATGGTGTTGCTGCTGCTGAAGTGTGGCTGCTGCAGCCATCGCTGCGGCTGCGGCTGCTGTTGTGGGCGGCCCAAAGTGTCCATAGTCTGTGGTCGTGTAGTGGCTAAAGGTCAAATGGCTGCGCGTGCTGTTGTCATGTATATCCTCCAGCGATTCCAGGCTCTTGCCACGCGGCTGACGCACCTGCACAGAGCGAAAGAGCGAGAGAGAGAGAATGCATTTGTAGTTGCTGCCACTTTAAAGTTCAAGGACGACGACTGCAAACGACTGACATTTGTCGAGTACTCAGACACACACACACACACACACACACACACTTAGCCACACACCCACCTTAATGAGCACCACATCGTTGCCGTTGCAACACTCGTGATTGCTGCCCGTGCAATAATAGGCATCCCCCCCACCGACATGGCTCAGGCCACCGCTGTGGCCATTGGTCAAGATATGCGCTGGCATTGCCGTTGACGTAGTCGCCGTTGCATAGATCTTGGTGTCGTCCCAGGAGACGCGTGTGGTTGGCACATAAGATGGCGTACTCGGTATGGGCACATTGAATTGCCACGGCTTGCGTTGCTGGTATTCCTAGCGGGTGCGCGTCGCCCATTAATCAAATCATTATGTAATCGAAGAAAATGAGAAAAGAAAAAGTTGCCAAATTAAAAAATTATATGCAAAAAATTAAATTAAACTAAAAAAACGAACAAGAAATATCAAATTATAGGTAAAGTATTTGTTTAATAAATAAACATAAATCAATGCGGAATGCTACGCATTTTGTTTCTAACCAATAAACAAATATAAGACTAGCGTTTAAACAAAACTTGAAGCAAGCGGCTGAAAACATTCCGCTTGACGTCATATTCTTATTTCCAAGTAACGCCCCTCTTTGGGTGCCTGTCACAAGCACAACTTCGACTGCGAGTCTATCTGGCATACTATGCGGGTCATAATTCTAGTGTCGTTTACCTGCTGCTGATAGGCATTGCCACCGCCCGGATTCCATTTGCCGCTGATAATGTCCTTGACCCGCTTGATGGCCAGCAGTATCTTCTTCTGGTGGCCCAACTTGACAATGCCAATGTCCTCGAGATCCTCCCAAGTCACTTGGGTGACATCGCGCACCGTTTTGTAGTTCTGCTCCAGCAGTGGTTGTATATATTCCTCCAAGCGCAACAGCTGCAGCCACTCCTCAATGGAGCCCTATAAATGTAGAGAAAATTCATGTCGATCATTTTCTATATACACATATATATTTATATATAGATAGATTTATTTATGTGTCTACTAATCGAAAGCGATTAAGAGTAAACTCAACCAACGTTGGCAGTCACCGGCTACAATTTGTCCATGAACTAATTCCAGGCCAAATCGCTGATACCACAAACAACATGTAAAAAATGAAAGGGGAAAAGGGGGATTGGGCGCTGCGAGCGAGTGAGCATTGCGTTCGTCTCCCGCTGCTGCTGCTGTTGTTGCTGTTGATGAGCTCGTCGCGGCTCTAATCAGTTGTAATTGATAAGATATGACATAAATCGCGTCAAAGCACAAACATAAAGAAAACGGGTAAAGAGACACAACTCGTCGACGTTGATGTTGATGTCGACGTCGTCGCCGCTTTCATTGCTCTGCCTGTCATTAAACGGTAGCCAAAGTCTCCACAACAAACCAGCAAACACATAGACAGACACACACACACACACATACATCACAAACACACACGCAACGCAGTCAAAAATCATCAACATCGGTGAATTAATATACCCTACAATCATACACTGAGAATAGGATGTGCTACCATAAGATAAATGTATGCAACAGCTATTTTTCACATTTTTTTGTGTAGAATTTTTAATTAAATTTCAATTAAAAATAATGTTTCCAAATATAAATGTATCATTAGTTTAATTAATTTTTTATTTTCAGCGTGATATTAGTTGGCATTGAATAAATAAATAAAATTAAAACAGACTCTACAATATAAACACAGAGTATCTGCTAGTCGATCACTTTTGCTAAGCCCTGCTTACTTGCTTCTCTTCTTGTTTTTTTTTTCATGTGACGTGTTAATAACTTTTGAAGCTATTGCTTTTAGCTGACTGTCCAAATTGCCGTTGATTTCTATTTTATTAATCGAATTTGAATGCTGCTGTTTCATTCCTTCAATCTTCCCTTGGCTGCTGTCTGCTCTCTTTTTATACTGTTTTCGGCTCGAGTTTTCTAGCATATTCCACAAGACGAAACAGTTATTACTCCATTAATCTACATTACATTTTTGTCATTTTGAGTAACATTTACCAATGTTGATGTCTCCAAAATAGCTATATTTTAAATGAATCTCTTATTTAGTTATTTAATGTCAATTCGAATCAGTCGACGGAGATAAATATAATAAATTATAAAAATAAATATAATAAAGTTAAATTAAATAAAATGAAAAAAATTACTATTTATGATATTTAAATTTATACTACACGAATGTTGTACACTTTTTGGAGTTGCTCAATTGCAAAATTGGTTTAACTCCTTCAGCATTATTCTGTACAAACAACTCTACAAATAAATTCAAGAAAAACCGTTAATCTCCAATATCTATAATATCTGTAGATGTATTATTTCTTTTGCTGAGCTAAGCCAACTCTACGCTACTCAGCAATCGTTAACTGATGACAGCTAACTGCACATTGCGCAGATGCTAATTACAAATGCATATTTGTGGAGAGCATCTTGCTTGGACACGACATATTTATCCTCTTCAATAAAACTTAACTTTAGGAAAAATATTTATTTAACGTCATTCCAGCGATGACCGAGTGTATGCAGATATGTGTACATATACATATATATGTATATAAATATATATATATATATATATATTTGGTTTTCTACTTTGCAGCTCATTAGCAGGTAGCATATGGTATGACACCAAACACATCAGACCAGCATACAGCAGCCAATAGACTACAACCGACAACAACAATAATGGTCAACAGCGAAAATATAAAACTGGTTTTCCAGCAAACTGTACATACCAAAAAAAAAGTATATAAATAAATATATATATATATACATATATATGTATATCTAAAGTTAAGCGTGAGTACGTCAGGTCGAAAACTAAATACTATTTGAGTGTCTAATAACGGCAACAACAACAGCAACAAGCACTTTGTGCTGAGCTTCAAGGTCGTTGTTTGATTGCGGTTTTTGTTTTTGCTTTGGCTGGAAAGGTACGCACACATACACATACATACACACACATATATATGTGCCGTCCCAAGAGATTGCCAAACGACACGTCGTTGACGATGTTTAATAACCTTTTTCTATCTCTCTCTCTCTCTCGCTCTCATTATGTTGAGGTATTTTGCTTTATTTCCTTTTTCGCCAGATAAAGAAAGTGCCGGCTGTGATCATAAGCGGGAATTGTTGGGATTTTGTGCTTAGCTCTCAGGTCTACTTTTTTCTTATTTATCGTTTATGTTTTTTTAGAATGTCAGCTAATGAAGGTGCCCAGCACGATTTTGCATGCATTTACAGCACATATATATACATATATATATGTATATATCTATATATCTATGTACATTAATTGTATAGGTATGATGTAAGTAGAGTTGGCACCACACCCAAAAGGTAACGTCGATCAACAGCTGCACTCGGCAAAAGTAGTTGAAAATAGTGAATTAGAATTTTTAAAGTTGAAATATTAAATAATAAAATAAATAAAGAACTTATTATGAATGTGTTTTCCGCTGGCTCCAGGTCAACTGTTCATATCTTATATACTGCAATATATTTCGAATACAGTCAGGACTCGTATTCAGCAATAGATTCATGTATAAAAAAAAAATCAACAAAAAACATATAAATAATAAAAAAGAATAAACAATAAAAAAATTGCTTAATACCAATTTTGAGAAATATTTTTGTTGTTTATCTGAGTGTAGATAGAGAGACGATAACAGTCAGCGATCTGAGTGAGTTCGGCTACAGTAACAAGTCGACAACAAACAGCACAAAACTTGCGAAAACAGTCACGGAGTGTTATACAAACAGCAAACAACGAAAAAATAAATAAAATACAACAATAATTCTATAATTCTATACGGCTAATACCCCAACAAAAAAAAAATACAAATAAAAACAAAAAGTTTATGGCGCATTTTGAAACTGAAATAAAAGACGGATCAGCACACAAAGGCTGAGGTCATTCTTGACTTGAAAAATTGCACAGCGGCAAAGCAAAGCGCGTTAGAAATCGTTGCAGAATAAATGAATAAATACTATGCTCAGTTATTATTGAACAAATGGGGCGAACCAAATAAAAAAAAAATCGAAAAACAAAAGATGGAAGCCGATAAACTAACCGGAGGTTATAATTTGAATCAAGCAATTAAGAGCGAGTAACTATGGAATGCGGTCCGAGTTGGTCGACTTGGAGAGCTGGAGATGTAAAAGCGATAAATGAAATTTCGGTTTCAGTTCGGAAACACAACACACACACACACACACACACACACACACACACAGACAGGGGCAAACATTTTGTGGCATGCATGCATGCAGTCAGGTGGGCAGACAAAAGACAGGTGGGTGGCGGGGAATGTGTTTGTGAATGCATGCGTGCCTAAAAGCCTAAAAGCGCTTTTTGAGACGCTGACGAAATCAATGAATCAGCCAAACTTAAAATGCAGTCAAAGTTATGGTTATTGTTATTGTTATTGCTATTGTTGTTTACTGCTGTGAATAGCATTTGTCATATGCATAAAGCTGCTCAAATGCATAAAGTGTGCATAATGGAATAATATGCTTTCTTGACTTATCGCTAGCTGCACAGTTCAATAATTATCTGATGATTATTTACAGTCAGTGCTTGAATTTACGACTCCCCGTAGCAGCGCAAGAGCAATAGAAATAAATCTGAACAGAGAGCAATAGCAAACTGAAAGGCTGAAATTCTCCTTCTGCTCCGCTCTGCTCTCTAATTTGCAAGAGCAATAGCAGTAGCAGAAGCAAACAAATTTCCATTATGCTCTGTATTTGTAGAAATAGCAAAAAGAGCAAGAATGGAGAGAGAGCGCAGCAATGGAGCTGTTTACCTTATGATATTGCTACCCAAGCTGCTCTGACTATTTCATCTACTTCAGTTTTCTGCTATTGGCTAAGCTGTTGATCTGTCAAAGTTCGTAACAGTAGCAATACGACATCGATACTTATCGATAAACCTTGTAGAGTTGTAGTTTCTTTCTGAGTCAATTCAGAGTTTCATATAAGGAAGTTTATTCAAGCAACTGACACGTACAATGTTTTTAATGTTGCATTGCAATTATGGTAATGCTCTGTGTGGTGTCTCAAAATGAGGTTTTGAGAGGGCTTGAGCACCAAATTTGATGGGAAACTTGTTTCTGGTTGCACGTGAACTGCATATCGATAAGAGAGTCGTGTTGCACTTTATTGTGTCACGTATCTGATCGAGTAACGTTGCACATACAAAAAATGATGTGGATAAGCCAACGGCTGTGAATATTTGTAGCGGAACTTTGCGTTCAAAGCGTGTCTGAATCAGATTGCAAACTTATCAGCAGTATCTTTTAGTGAAATTTAATTGGAGTTAATATAGAATATTTGCTTAAAAAACCCCCACAAGAATAGCAACTTGAAATAGAATTGGAATGTATAACAATGTAGTTTAACAACTAGGTATTCAAAATGACTTAATAATCAGTTTCAATTTGATTGAGTCTTGTTATCTTTTCAAGCGCACTCTTTAATCCCATAATTATACTCGCATTAGAAACCTTGCTCCGGAAATTAGTTGTTAGCCAAGAAAAACATGACTCTTGACTGGCCATTTGGATCTGTCGGAACCAATGTTAACGAGCACTTGAGATCCATTGCTCTCGTAGCCCCCGCCCCAATCTGCCCCATGCTTTGCTCCCTCCCCCGGCGGGTTACCTTCCTTAGTGTCACCTGTACAGGTGCTCAGTGGCGCCAGTTTGCCAACACGCTGCATAAATTGGCCAACTTGAGCGAAGTTCACGCGGCTTGAGTGGATTTAATATTATTATTTTTATTTCTTTTTTTGTATATGTTGTCTGTTTATATAGCTGAGTATTTGTTAGTTGAATTGCTGATGGGAATTAATGTGCGCATATTAAACGAAATTCTTTCATTAACAAACAAAAAATAAAAAAAAAAAAAAAAAAGATCATTTGCTGACAGCGCTTTTTAATGTGAGAAACCAGTTTTTGCAGCACGCTTGCAAATGCCATTTTAATGAATTGTGTATATAAATATGATAAGTTGTAGAAACAAATAAAGAGGCAGCGACTTAAAGCAAGCTGCCGAGCTACTCAAGATGAGAGCGAGAAATCTTCATTGAAACATTCTTTTATTGATATTTAAGCCGTGGGAAGTTGTTGAATAGCTTGTAGCCGGAGAAAAGATTTGAAAGGGAATTCTAAGTCAATTTTAGTTCTTAAAGAGACAATTTGTATAAAGCAGTATATACATTATTCATTCCTAGCTATGCATACTATATAGATATATATATAGGTAACGTCACCTTTGGTGTGTCGCATTTAATGCCAATTTGACAAATTAGTATTTGCTGTGCATGTTGACTGAAATGACTAAACTTGACTTTATGCAAATATCACGAGTTGCTCCGCTTTGCTGATTAGATAGAAAAGCGAAACCGGTTTGCGGATCGTCTTTTGTTGTTGTTGTTCTTGTTGGCATTGTTGGGTTTATTGCTTTGTTTACTTACCGGCACAAAGTGTGGCAAATTGTCGAGCACCTGCAGCTTGTCGATGCGCTGCTTGATGCGCTCCCGATGATGCGGATTCTTGATGCCGATGGCGGTGAGATCCTCGGGTGTCATGCGTGCAATCGTTGGCAAATCGTAGCCAGCACCAATGAATAGCTGAGCATATTCCTCATGTTTCATCTCCAGCAGCCAGTCAATGATGAGCTCATCGTTGCGCTGCCGATCAACACTCCCAATCGAGCAGGAGCTCACCGAGCTGCAGCGGGGCGAGGAGAGTGGCGCTCGTATCGAGGCGCCCGACGAGGAAACGCCCGTCAAATAGGACGAGGCACGACCCGAATCTAAGCTAGCGGTGCTATGCCTTGACCCCGAACCAGCCGAACCGGATGACGAGCCGGGTGAGTCCCGACCAGGTGACTGGGTTAAGTCGATGCCCTGATCTTCCTGCAGCGCCAACTGCTGATGATAATAAACGGCCGCCTTGTGGGTGAGCGGTTCACGCAGAGTGGCACAGAAGACGGGCGGCGGACAGGCAACAATGCTGGGTGGTGCCGGTGGTTTGCCGCCGCTGTTGCTGCTGCTACCAACTGTGGCAGTTACGCCTGCTCCCGCTGCTCCTCCTGCGCCTGTTGCTGTCCCAGCTCCGACTGCGCCTGTTACCGCCTCATCTTTCAGACGGAGAGCGACGCTCGTCTCGCGTGGCAAATTGAAGCCGCCCTCCTCCAGCGAGGGCGACGAAACAATGCTGCTGCCACTCATGCCACAAATGCCATCGTCCACTTGCTGCTGCTGCTGATGATGTCGCAATGGGCCGCTTAATCTGTACAGCGGTATCAGCGCCTGTTGGTGATGTTGATGGTGATGTTGATGTTGAAGATGATGTTGCTGTTGATGATGGCCAAGGGGCGAGGTGGGTGACAATTGTTGCAGATGCTGCTGCTGCTGATTTTGCTGTTGCTGCTGTTGATGTTGCTGATCTCCTGGTATTGTTGGCGGCTGTACCTTTTTAGCTTGTGCCGTCGTTGTGTGCGGCTTCAGTGAGCGATGCATGGCGCGCTTCTGCTTCTTCTTCTGCTGCTGCTGCTGGCCGCAATGCTGGCCAAATTAGCTGTGGCAACGCCTGCAAGCACAAATAACGAAACTATGCATTAGAAATATGCTTGCACATATATGCATGTATATAAATATGTGTAGGGTGCAAGCAACTGCTACACATCTGCTGCACATCTGCCGGTTTGTGGCAGGCATTTGCAGCAACAAAATCTGCATAATTGGACATCAATTTTCGTTGGTCTAGCTCTAAAAATAGGGTCACACTGTTTACACACGCGCACGCCACGCTGCGGCAAGTCAATAAACTGCCACAGAGTGCCACACGAGTGCCTGCACAGTGGACAGTTGCAAGCCCATAAATTTATTAGATGATTATTAGGACAATATTCAAAGTGAAGTTAATTTCAATTTCTATTTTAAACAACAAACAAAACAAATAAATATGCTTGCCAACAATTGTATTTAGTGCGCTTTAAGAAATGTTTAAATTGACCCACTGTGCCTGTGTGGCCCGTAGCATCGTATTACAAATTTCATTCACAAAACACAACTAAAAGCAAACACGGAGGGGAGAACAGCAGCAAGACAGAGAGGGAGGGAGACAGCGACGATGTCAAAGTTCGTTGACAGTGGGTTGGATTTGCCATAGGGAGTGGTGGGGGTTCAGAGAGGGGAGACGTCATCTAGATGTTGGCCTGTGGCTTGTGTCTAGGCGCGACGTCATAATACACTTGAAAAATGCACAGGCAGGCAGCAGGCAGGCAGTTAGCAAATCTGGCAAAAGTCACGAACAGCCATGTCATTAACATTAGCGAGAAAAAAGCAACCACACAATACTGGGAAGCAATAAAAACCAGAGAACCAAAACCAAAGCTTTAATATGCAGTTCTAGTGAAACAGTTAAGCGATACAATAACTGCTGCGTTTATCGATAACAAGCCACAATCAATTACAGTAGACAGCCACCTGTTCGATTAAGTACTCGATGCCCGCCCGGCTCATGGCGAGTGTGACAAAGAGTAACGAAAACGAATACCGCAAAAAAAAGCAGGTGGTAAATTTCATAACGCGCGAATGTGTGTGTGTGTGTGTGTGTGTGTGGGAGCCGAGACGTAGCAAAAGCAGAGCAAAAGCTGCGACAAAAAAGGAGAGAAGAAAAAAACAACACGTAAAACGGTGGCAGTAGTAAATTTCATTTACAAGTCCGTCGACGACGTTGTCGACTGCCTTTAATGAATTTTTATGTATGCGACGTGAAACGAAAATTAACGAAAAAAAAAAACTGCAGCCGAAGAAGCGGTGGAGAGCTAAAAACAAGCGAGAGAATGGCAGAGAGAGACGGAGGGATGGAGCGGGAGATAGAAATGGAGAGGGAGAGAGCGCGCAGAGCAGCGGTAAAGTTGTAGTAGGGTAGTATATCAAACTGCAAACGATACACAAATGTGGGTTGCGATTTGTTGTTGTTGTCGTTGCTTTCGTTGTTGTCACCCACACAAACACACACACACATACACACACAAACTCACACACCCCATTCGCCCAGCTGCGCGCATTTGCAGATGTTGTTGAACCGTGCGGCCGGCTTGCATTTTGGGCTAACAGTTTTTTGTTTGTCTGTTTGTCTGCCTGTTTTTTTTTTCTTCCATTTTTTTTTTGTGTGGTTTACTGCCCATTTTTATGAGTACATTTTTGCTTTTGCCTTTTGTTGCTTGCACATTTAATTGCAAACATGGCATACAAACACCCACAGGACGCCCCCCGGCGTATAAAATGCAAACACAACATTGCAGTTGTTGTTGTTGCTGTTGCAGTTGGGTGTGGGTGGTGAGTAATCATAATGAGCACAACACTTGCTCCTGTGTGTGTGTGTGCATAAAAACTGATTGGAAATGCAATTGGACGCTTGGGCGGCCTTTTCCTATTAGAAACTCCGAACACAATGCAAAACTATTACAAAGGGCAGCGCTTGCTGAAAGATTTATTGATTGTCGTCACACACACACATACACATATCAATTATTGTGTGTGTATGTGTGTATATACATTGTAGCGGAGTTGCGGTTTTGAAGTTAGCAGCAAAAATGCTGAGCAACTAAAAATAATTATGTTTACACACACACAGACATAGTCACAGACACACACGCATATATATACATATATATATATATATATAGGTGCACATATACAAACAGGCAGATAGAGCTGCGTACAGAGGAACCGCAATACTCTAGTCAATGGGGGAGAGAGAGAGAACGAGAGAGAGAATATTGAGAGTTGCTTAATTTTTGAATGGGACGCCCAATAAGAAATCATTCAACTTTCGAGCGTTGTGGCAAAGTCAATGAAACTGTGACTTTATTTTAACACATATCAAGTAAAAGAGGGAAAGAAAATTATGAAATCAAAATGAAAAATGTTATTTAAAAAAAACCTGCATATATATTCGATTTATTGCATGCACATGTCACATTTAATAATCATTGCCATCAGTTGAATCAATTACCCATGGATATGTGTAAGTGTATTTGAAGTTCGTTAAATTGTCAATCAATTGCTGTTGTCGCCGTTAAAGTTTACTGGCATGAGTAATCAGCCAAATGGAGCGCAATAAAATGGCAACGGCAACGGCAACAGCAACACAGGCGGCAACAATCTATCAGCAGACCGGGCCAACAGCCACATCAACTTAGTTGATGCCCAGCCACCCCCGAATAAAACATACCCCCTCCTCCCCTCCCCTCCCGCATCTACCACTTAATGGCCAGATTCATATGCCTGGAACTGGGACGAGGGAGCAGAGACGAGAGGAGAGACGAGGCGGCTGAAATCAAATGAAGCGAGTCCCATTCTCATGTTTATTAACGGTGCTTAGCAGCGATACATATATATGTGTATATATATATTATACATCTATGTATGTGTGTGTGTGTGTTTAAGAGTGTGTGGGTGTCATTAAGCTTGGTAGATAAAGAGGGACCGCCCAGGCAACACTTCATTACCAACCAAGCAGTCAGCGCGACTTATTGACAACGGTTTTCTGTTACACCCTCTACAAAAGATGCAGATACAACACTTACAACACCGGTTCGACAAACAGCTCTTAAAAGTTTAGTGCCTTGGAGATCTGAGCACTTTAATTGTAATTTAATACATTGATTCTTTTTGGAGAATAAATATTTTTTCTATACATTCTTTTATTGTATATCATTTTACATATTATACAGTAGTGCTTATTTATAGATTGGTGTAGATAAATCTTTTCTGCTGATAGGAATTTAATTGACATTTTTTCCATAAATATAATTTGAATAAACAAAGAAAACCAATGTAATGTTTTAAAATCTACATTCTACCTGTTCCCCGACCATCTCTCTTGCTTATTTTACAGGGTATCTCAAGAGCACATCATTCGCTATTGTATTTTCAGTTTGTTGCGGGTGCTTTGCATATGTCATGAGACACTTTTCCATACACTTTCTCAAAAAGGCAAAGCTGATAAAAAAAAGTTTTCGGGTGCATTTTTTCTTACATTTCTTTTAAAGTTGTTCGTTTTTCTTATTTTTGTATGTTTGCCACGCCCCAAAGAGTTGCAAGTCTAGGGTTTTCTGTGTGTGTTTTGTACTTGAGCTGTGCTGCATTGTTGCTGCTAGCGTGTTTTGTCAGCAGCAACAGCAACAACGACAACTACAACAAAATAAGATGGTGTCGCTGTGCCTGTCGATAACTGGAGATGTTGATCTTGTAAGAAAAGCAAAGCAGAGGAGAAGAGGACAGCAGCAGCAGCAGCAGCAGCAACAACAACAACAATGGCCGCAAGCAGCATAAACTTGTTTTGCCTGTAAAAGGGAGTTGTAGTTGTAGTTGTTATTGCATTGTCTTTTGTGTTATTGTTGTTGTTTTCAGGTTTCATCATCTGGCAACGCCAAGAACGGAGGAGCAAACAACACAAGCGAGCCATAAAAAGCTCGTAGGAGTCCCACAAATGCACCGAAGATGTGTCAAATGTGTGGGCGAGACAGAGACAGAGTGAAACAGAGAGAGGTAGGGAGAGAGAGGGGAACACTGTACGTGCAGTTAACGGTTAATGCAAAACGCATATGGCACCAGACAAGACAGTCAGAAGCAGAGACACACAGACAGACAGACAAACAGACAGACAGACCAAATAAGGCGGCTGTCAGCACGTACACGAAGAGCTCCAAAAACGGCCATCAATTCCAAGCTTTTTGGTCAAAAAACGCGAACAAGTTGTAAAGCGAGCAAATGCGAACAAAGCTACAACAACAATAGTAAGAGCGGAGCAGGAGGAGTAGAAGGAGAGCATTTACAGCTACATTGAACTTTTTAGTGCCCAACCACTTGCCACCCACTTGCAAAGTGCGTTTACTACTACTACGCACACACACATACGTATACACATACATACACACATACAAACACACACAGCAAGCAAGACACACACACACACGCTTTTTTTTTGGGGGAATACAATTCGCAACAACTGTGCCAAAAATATGCAAATTACCATTTGAAAACGTTGATTTCGGCAACAATTTTTAACACAAACACAAAAGCTCAATAAAAATGAGCATTAATTACAAATTTTGCATAAATTGCAATTGATTTTGTTGAACAAAAACGCGTTGGAAAATTCTGTGCAAATTTCTTTTACACACACACACACACACGGAGAGACTAAAGTATCACCAACACTAACACACACACACACAAAACAAGTAAAGCATATGAAAAAGGCAGAGCAAAAAAGTTGCCGCTGCGGCGACGACGACGACGGCGGCGGCGGCGGCTGCTGCTGCTGCTTAAAAGAAACGAAGAACTAGCCGAAAAAAAGGCGGAGCGTGCACGAGCCGACGGCGACCGCAAGTCAAAGCGTATTGAAAACGCGGCTCAAGTTCGACTCCAAGTCAGAGTCCTCCTGCCGTACGGTTTTCCAAAACTTTGAGAGAGGAGAGAGCGAAAATGATATATAGAGAGAGAGAGAGAGAGAGAGAGAGACGCCTGAGAGAGTGCTTGAGTTGAAAACTCTGCTCGATTCTAGGTATTTATTTTTTGTGCGGCATAAACAGAAGTAAGGCAATTTGTTGCAATTGAAACAATAACAATTGGCTTGACAATTTGTTGTTGCTGGCAAATTAGTTAATAAGTAAAACCCTCCGTTTCGATGATAGGCGTCTGCATACTTATGTCCCGCAGTGTAGTGCACGATAAGATTAAGCAGAGTGAAATGCATTCAATTCGTGTTGCACAGTGAGGCAACAAAGAGCAAAAACTTGTCTTATAAATATTTACAACCTGGCATTGTTATTGTTGGTATGCTCAAAGATCTGTGTACGATATAACGTTAGAGGTCAGTTGAAATGTTTAATGTTTGTAAGTCATTTGCATTCAATCGTAATCGTGGCATGGGAACTTGTAAAACTGGGTCCAAGTCATTATCATTACTTCGCCTCAAGGTCAAATAACTAGCAAACGTTTTAAATAGATTATCTGTTGATTGCATAAAGCTTTTAGTAAACTTTGTTTTATTTCATTTTAAATTGACATTGACAATGAACATTTAATTTATATTATATTTTTACTACATTTTTACAAGCTAGTCCCACTGTGCAATGTATGCCACAAAAAAGGCAAACAAATCCAAACACACACACACACACACACACACATTTGGTCTGTGGACAGTCAACCACTTTGCTTGCCGCATAAGCCAATAAGAGCTACATCAACCGAGCGAGTGAGAGAGAGAGAGAGAGAGGGAGCGAGAGAGTGAGCACGCGCTCCACACGAGTTTAGTACAGAAACTTCGAAAAAGGCTCCATCTTTATTAAATGGCCTGCGCACGCTCTTTCTCTCTCTCTCTTCGCGCGCTCTCTTTGTGCGCTCTCTCTGCCAGAAGCAATGCAATGCTCTCTAAGCTGTTCCCCGCCCACTGCTCCCCTGCACATTTCTACGACAATTCTAACACTTCATTGGAACCGTTGCGACGGCAACGAGACATCATTTGATTCCCACACAAATCTCTGCATATTGAGCGGTCGCGAGTCTCTCTCAATTACAGCCAAGGGAGTTATGAGCCTGTCTGTGTATGTGTTTGTGTGTGTTTGTACTCTACGCTTTCTATTGATTTATATGAGCTTTATGGCGCAATCTGAGTACTTTGCCGCAACGAGTACAAAGCTCAGCTAAACGAAGTAGAAGAAGATGAATAAGAGTTTGAAGTAAACGCGCTTTAAATTTTCAAATGCAGTCAAAAAAAAAAACACAATGCGTAAAAGGACGGTCACATTTAATTGTCGACAAGAGCGTTTTGTGTTAAACAGCGAACGGCGGTGGAAAACAAAAGTGCATAAATTATGTAAAGTGACCAGAGTTGCCGCCACAGCGCGTCATTGTTGTCTGTCCCACACTTAAATGCAGCAGCAGCAGCAGCACGCGTCAACATCGGCGCTCGAGCATAACGCCGACTTTGCTGACACGTGTTGGTTTATTAATTACATAAGCAGCAGGCAGATGCAGCTGCCTTCATTATTGTCGTGGAACAAGACAAAACAAAAATCCAATTTCCTGCAGATGCCACTCTGGCCACTCTGAACAAAGGAGAGCCGAACAGCTGGCAGCCACTGAAGATGGCCAGCAAGGAGCAAGAGGAAGACCAATGACAGATGGCGCAGTCAGCGCCGACGCCAGCGGAGGCGGCAGGACGCAAATGTCAAAACAAAAACATTTAAAGCCGCTTATAAAAGAAAAAGGTATCGCTCACCTGTAAAAATGGTTTGTGGGCCGTTTTCCAATTTTCAATTTACGAGAGCAACTAAAAGCGAGACACAATCACATTAAAACACAACCACGACGAAAGTTGACACACAAAAGTAAACAAATGTAAAACTGTAACAGGGCATTAATTACTATTGTTGTTGTTGCTGTTGTTGGTTTATGGTATTTTCTACAAACACTCTCACACACAGCAACACAGACACACACACGCGCACAACTACAAATGGCGCGCGCGCGACGCATAAAAGTAAAACATAAAACCAGATTAATTTTTGTGCAGCCGACACACAAAAAAGAAGAAAAAAAGAGTTTATTAAGCTGCTTGCCTAGTTGTTGTTGTTGTGGTTGGCTTTTATTGTTTGCTACGTCGCCATTTTCTTTGTTGCTTTTTTAATTGAGTTGGTTTTGTGTCTGGGCTCTGTTGCGGTTCATTGAAATGGATGTGTTAACTAATTGTTAATTATAAAGATTTTATTAATTTTGTGCCACATTAAAATTGATTTATGCGTTTCTTTTCTCGATCGCCAGCCAGAGTCGCGCGATAAACCGACGCGAACCACCCGCAAACTTTCAGCAAGAAAACAAAAACATAACTGAGTGTGGCTGCAGACTTGGAGTAGTGAAATGCCACGATACAACGCTGAACGATAGTTATCGATATTAAAATACTAGATTTTATACATCTTTTTTGATATTTTTTGTGCCAAGACTACGTACAGAAGTTTACTTAAAACTACTTTAATTGTATAATAATAACAATAGACTAAAGTTTCAGTACAAATTTGTCCTTACTAGCGAACTTTCTGAAGTAGTAAATTTTGCTCGAATCACCCTGTACGATGATGCATCGGTTTAGCTTATACCATCGATAAGTACTCAAATGGTTTTAGTGTCATCACTGTTTAGTAGCATAAATCAGCGCATTTTGTTAGCCGCATGCAGCCACACTTGTTGCATTTGTATAAAATGTTACAAATTCTTAAACAAATTTGATGGCCCAACAATAACAACTGAAAGTGTGTGCGTTCATATCGTCTGCTAAATTATGTGTGCCTTTTTACTTAACTAAAATTAAGGTTCTGTTCTCTGTGCCGTGATTCGTTTTGGAATATCCATTTCCACTGTGTGCGTGTGTGTGTGTGTCTGTGTGCTTATTGCTTGTGTTGCGTTGTGCGGCATTTTTGGTTAAACAAATTACCCTGACTAACTGCTAAGAGTAAGCATAATGAGGTGAAATTAAGTAAATAGACAGTTTATTGCCTTGTGCAAAAGCAAAAAATAAAGCCAAGTGATCAACTGCAAATAGAAATTGAAGAAAAAGCAGCCCCAGATTCAAAAATGCAAATGAGCATAAAAAAAAAGAAAAGATGAAGAAAAAAAATAAAAAAAATACAGGTTGTCTGTCGCTGCTACGCTTTGGCATTTATTGGCTTGGCTCTCGCTGCGCTGCTGTTGTTGTTGCCTGCCTTTTTGGTTGGTCAATGCACGGCATTAATTAAAGCAATAGAAATTATACTCGTTGTGTTTTCAGTTTGTTTGCGCAATAAGTAAACTTAATATTGTTCTTGTTGCTGCTGCTAAGCTTTGCGTTCTAATTATTTTTTTCTTACAGTGGGCGTCAATGCTGTTATGACGCATTGTATTGCAATGCTATTAATGTTAACAGCAACAGTCACAACAACAACAATTGACACCTGTGGCATGTGTCTGAGTTTGTTTATGTTGCTGGCGAACTTTAACCGGTGCCGGGGCTAAAAGTTCAAATTTTGACAGCTGCGTGGCGCATCATAAAATCAGATTTGAATTTAGAAAGCTCAAATAAGAGAGACAGTGAGCGAGAGACAGAAAGAGAGAGGGAGACAGACGCTTTTAATATGTTAAGCTTTTTTTGTGCGTGTGTTTTGATGCATCACTCCAGTGGTGGGAAGTGAGAGGCAGAATACACTGTTAACTTAACATACTGTTAAAACATAGTCTAACAGCGCTGTTAAGGCGAACAGTATGTTAAACTCAGGATACGATTGTGTTGATTTGATATTATTTCTATTAATTTATGACTTATGGTTTATTTACTTGCAGTTCGTTATAATTTCTGTGATTCCCTGTGCATGTTTCAATACATATATATCAAATTGTACAAAAAAAAAAACAAATCTATAAAGAATTCTCAACGAGAATAAGTCTGCAACTGCAACAGGCCACACGACTCTCAATCTTTGTTTTTTGTACGTTTTCGTTCCGTCCCAAATGCAGAAAATGCCGTCGCAAATCTTAAACGATGGCAGTGGCGCTGGCAGCATAAATAATGCTGCCTCATTGCTGGGCGCCTCACCCAATTGCATTACAGTGAAGACTGCCTATAATGGCCAAATCATAATCACAACAATCAACAAGAATATCACCTACGAAGAGCTCTGCTACGAGATACGCAACATTTGCCGCTTTCCCATCGATCAGGTGAGTAACCAAGAAAATGATATTCATAAATATTAAAGATAATATTTTTTGTATGTTTATTGCAGCCCTTCACCATCAAGTGGGTCGATGAGGAGAACGATCCGTGCACAATATCAACGAACATGGAACTGGATGAGGCCATCCGATTATACGAGTCCAATTATGACTCCCAGCTTGTCATACATGGTAAGTGAAAGACATTTCTTATCAATATTGTAAATATGGTTTATGGTGTTGTAAGTTGTAAGTGCTCTTTTTGTTTGATGATCATGCGCCAATGCGATAAGCTCTTTTGTGCCTCCATTCGAAAGACTTAAGAAATGAGTCACTTCTGGCTTATAAAAATATCTGTGTAATGCTTTAATAGATTTAAGATTTTCTCTGATCTCAAATCAAAGTTTAAAAACACAAATTTTTTGAGTTGAATTTCTCGTTTTCTAATCATTTAAACTCACAAGGGAATTGAGCTTACTTATTATTATTGAGGGGGTTTAGAGCTATTCTGAGAATCTTTGTCGGGTTGAGGTTGGTTAAATATATTCTTCTTTCTCATTATTTCAAAATCAGCAGTTTAGTTTAGCTTGGTGTTTATAGCCACCTAGCTTGTCTGAGACCTGCCTGTACCTGCCTCTACTCGGCTCAATTGCTGCATTCCCCAAGTTGTTACGGTGTTTTTCTATGCCACAAAACGGTTCTGTTGCGGTTAGAAATTGAGAAATGTTCTGGAAATTGAGAAGAGTTTTTCTTAGTTTCCTAGTTTCCTTTTCCATTTGTGCTCAACTACTCAAACTCAAGTCCTGTGGAAACACAATTTAAATAGTTTTGCCAAAATGTGTTTTCATTTCTAAAAGGTTTCTAATGATATGTAAGCATTGTATTGTAAACAAAAAACGAAAACCAGAAAAAATTGGCTTGATTAAGTAGTAAATTTATTTACGAGCTTGTTTTTCTAAGCACACATTCCTTTTAAATTGTGGTTTATGTGCTTAGCTGAAAGGGATACATTTTATGGCCTTAAAGGATTTCAAGAGCTCGCTGTGTGTGTGTGTGTGTGTGTTCGCTTAGATTCCAACACATTTGGGTGTTTGCTCGAATAGCAAAAACTATTTGAAAGTTTTTAATTTGCAACAAATTTCATTATCAAAGTTGCTGCCGCTCATTTGGCTGGAGCATTTGGGGCACAACATGAGGCAGCTGATGCTTTCCAGTTGTAACACAATTTAACCGCAATTTTGTGCACATTTCAGCCTGGTTAAACAATATGCTCGTTGCTTTATTAGCCCAATAAACCGTGCCGCCGAACTTCCGGCTTCCCATTCCCAATGTGTCTGATTCCTGATTCTGCTACTTTTCTAGCCTTATTTTGGCCCGCCCACGGGAAGGGCGGACGCAAATCCAAACAACGGCCTACCATGTTAATAACATAAAATATTAATTAACTTGTGCAGAGGCATATAACTGACACACACACACACACACACACAGTCTGCAGTGTAAGCGTTTCTGCCCCGTTGCGCCCATAAGTAGACTCTGGTTTTAATCTCTGTGTTGGCTGTTGTTAATTTTTTTATATTCGCCTCATATCTGCCGTTTTGACCCGATAGCTGCTTCGTTTATAATTCATTATAATTAAATTGTTTGCTGCCAGTGCCGGTTGGCAACAGCGGTTTAAAATTTAATTTTTGTGCGGCTTCTTCTTGCTGCTGCCTCAAAGTATGCTGCACAAGCACACACACACACACCTACACACACACACACACACACGTACCGGCTTAGTTAACTGTCTGTGCTTAATTATATGCTTGCCGCAAAAAGTTTTTTGGCTTTCGCCCCATTCGAAATATTTGCGCCTAATGACAAAAACAAAATGTTGCCACAACAACCATAAATTAAGTGTAAAACACGTAAAGCAACCAAAATGAGACAACACAACACAATTTGATGATGCGCTCTGCTCTCAAAATTAACATATTTAGTATATGATGTCTTTTTTCTTATTCTTTATCTTGTTGTTGCTTTTCTTTGCTTTTCCCATTCCCATTCCCATTCCATCTCTTTTGACAATTAGTGGAAAATGTATTGCAGTCTTTGGCCAAAAAAAGGAGAAGAAAAAAACAACAAGTTTTTTGTATGCATAGCTTTTTCTTCGTTGGGGCAGCCATTAACAAAGGCAAAAGCGCTAACAAGGAAAGCATAATAAAATTTATTTTCGGTGTAGAGTTTCATTCAACAGCAACAACAACAACAACAACAGCTGAGGCGACTTTAAACCAATCCCTCAGCTCTTTAGCTTGCCTTACGAGGAAAGTATTTATGATATTCCGCAGGGAGGATGAATATAGATTCATAAAAAACGTATTTTTCTTGTTTCGCAAGATTAGTCAACAAACTGCAAAAGCGAATTTCTAAAAATAAATTCCTTGATTTAAAAGACGATATCTGCTAACGTAAATAGAAAATTCAAATGGGGAGTTTAAATCAAAAACTTAACTAAAAACTGAACTCGAATAAATTTCAAGTTTGTCGGCTTCAATTTGTAGTTTCAAAGTTAAATCTAAAGTTTGAAAGAAATACTATTATCAATTGGGAGCTTTTAATTTAATCTTATAAAAGATAGATAGATAAAAGATAAATTTTAGCTGTTGTTTTTACACTTGCCACATTTGGAAAACAGAGAAACAAAATCTTTAACAAATATAAATTTCTATTATGATGCTATAATTTCTTCGGCATCTACATTTATTCAACATCGCAAGATGTCATTGTTTGTGCATCTATTGCACATTAATTTGTTGTATGTTTCATGTATCCTTGGTATCCTTGTGTGTTGATTTCTAATACATTGCTTGCATTCCATTGGGAGTTATCTCAGGGCTCGT